GAATCTGTATCTGTTCGCTGTGCTTTTGGGCACGATTCCGCTGCTGATTGGCATGTGACGCTGCACAAAATCTAGCATATGATTATATGCTATTTATATAGCACATATACACACACACACCCACAGACGGGTTCACTCGCTGGCTCAACTACTATTATTATAATTATAATTAGTCAGATTTGAAATTATTGTGAATTTTGTGCATTAAATTTAATTGCGGCTAATTCCGTTGAATGCGCGCCAAACTTTTGTGCCATACACACACACACACACACACACACACACACACACACACACACACACACACACACACACACACACACACATAGTGGCCAACTCACACACTCACACACACACAGCAAATTAACCCCTTGAGTGCCACTCAGTTGCGTTTGTCAAGTTGCTTTAATTGACTTTTAAATTTGCAAAAAAAAAGAAATTCACAAAAATCAAAGCGTCGCAGGTTGAGTGGGTTGCCGATCGGGGCAGCGCGAGGCCGGGTGGGGCGGGGCGTGGCGTTCGAGGTCGCCTTCTAAAGTGCAGCAGCAGCAACAACAACAGCAGCAATTGCACTCGTGTTGGCAACGTCGTCATAAAAATGTTCACACCTCAGACAAAGCACACAAGTGGCATGCGGCGGCGGCCGCGGCTGAGGCAAGGGCAAGCGCCAGGGGGCGGGCGGGCGCCGTTTGGGGCACTTGACTGGACCGAGGGGTTGGGGGCGCCGTGGTGGTTGAGGCTAAAGTTGGGCCGCAGTCGCGCACAGCTCAAACGCCACAGCGAAGGGCGACGAAATTCGTGTGTGTGTGTGTGTGTGTGTGTGTGTGTGCGCGTGTTGTATACCCCTTTTTAGAGGGTATTACAATTTGATCATAAAGTGTGTAACACATTCGTATGTCTGTATATGCGTCTATACGTCGTACGTCTATATTATGTAGCTGAAGCCATGCGGGCGATCGATTAAAATTAAAATATTTCTACTTGTATTCGCATCGGATGTATATTTGTTAAATTTTAAAAGCGTCTCAAATCGATTGACTATTTCATTTGGCTTCTTTAGAAATAATTGGGCGGATATTAATTATTCCTGTACGCATATGCCTGAGAATGTGGCTGCAAGTGTAGTTAATCTTCGGCGCGCTTCTTGTTTCCTATTCCCACTACACTTTGTATACCCTGTACGCAAAGTGAAGAGAAGTTTATTGACTTACAGCAACGACTACGTTTGACTATATAACGTGGTGACTAGCCTCTCGGCATATCCTAAAGTCACCGTTTGACAGTCACAGCTCATTAGCGACAGTCTTAGAGCCGACTTGAGACCAATTCAATTGGCAAATTACACCGCAAACAGGGTATTGCGCAGTCGATGTCAGCCGATACTCACTTATTACTCTTTTGCTTTTTTTTTTATTTTAATTTACGTCAACTCAAAATCAAAGCAAAGTCAAAGCAAATTGTCTGCCCGAGGTCTGGTCTGGTGTCTATATAGTGAAGGAAGTCGGCTCTCTCGTCTATATAGAGACCGCACACATTGCCGACGCGCACAATTAAGAATATTTCTAACAGCCAAACAAACTGGGCCAGCAGAACGATGGGCGGGAATGGGGAGTAGCCAAAGGCAGAGGCTATTAGCAAACTGTCTCAAATATCAAAGGGCACTCGCAACATGTGACCTGACTTGCCTCACTCAGTCGTTGACATGCAGCAATTAGCAGCAGTTCTCTAGATAATTATTATACTTATTATTCTAATTCTGATTGCAACACTCAAATATGTTTTAGACTTTTAGTTGAAGCCATAAATTAAATGGAACTTTACTTCTATATCTTCGATAATAACAGGCATATCTCGAGGATTATAACAGCTAGAGATACAAACTTTGAAAAGCCTTGCCCTAATATTTAAAAAAAACTCATCTACATTCATTTTCTATGATTAGTTCTGTAAAACTTATCTGTAGCGACCTTCAGCCTAATAGTTAGCAATGTTTTAACTTTTACCCCATATTATTCTTCGGTTCTTATAGTCCGATCTTTATGTGGAGGAATGGGAGGAGCTATACGAAAAGTGAAATATTTAGAATGTTATGAAAACTTGAGAAGAAAATGAGAAACTCTCTCCACTTTTAGTAAGGGGCAATACATATTTCAAGTCTCTCGCTTTTGTAGTCTCCAAAATCAATCGAAAGGACCTTCACCTGATCAAAGATATATACACCTTACATAGACGCCTGCCTCCGCTTGTTGTTAATATTGCAAATATTATATGCAAAAACAGGGTATATAAACAGTGGAATTTGGTCTCTCTAATTTGACATTTTTTAAAAATATTTTCGAATGGTTTTCTTTTTATATATTTTTGTCGCATTTCGCAAGCGCCTCAAAACTATGAAAATGGTTAATTTGAGGCAAAACATAATTTGTCAAGAAAGAATGCAGGGACGTGACCCTGCCAATGCCCAACAGATGGCGCTTCAAAGTTAAAAAGCTTCTCGCTTTCAATTTGCAATAACAAAGTGTGTGTGTGTGTGTGTGTGTGTGTGTGTGTGTGCAAACACATCAAAACGTCTGTCACAACAAAGCGAAACGAACCAAAGTGAAAATTGTCAATTAAATGACAAAAAATAAACACTTATCTATGTACACATACACACAGTTAGATGCACATAGTATACAATTATAGATATGCACATACATTGATGTATGTGTACACATTACACATATGTACATGCATACATACATATGTCTGGTGCTGTGCTTGTGGTAACAATTTTCCGATTTGTTCGCTCGCACATTGCTTGTAAAAGATCAAAGGCACTTAATGGCCCGACTGAGTGTGACCGTTTGTTGCGGGGCTGGGGCAGGGGCAGGGAGCGTTAGCGGGGGTGGGGCGCCACTGGGTGGCTATACGGCAGGAAATCCGTTTGGGCTTTTGGCCCCAAACTTGACGCGACTTTAATTGACGAAAGGGGCAAATGGGAAAAATCAACAAAAGTGTAAAAAATCAGCGAGACAAACAACGCACACACACACACACACAGACACACACGCAGACAAAGAAGCGGCAAAACAGAACGTAGCAGCAGCAACAATATGCAAAATTAAATAAGATGACGCGAATAAAAAAGCGCCAACAATAACAGTTACCAACAGCAGCAAAAGCTGCGCCAAAAAGTTCTTTCTCACATTTATTAAACAAATTACGCGAGCACGGCACAAAGCACACAAAATATGCGATAAATAAATACACAAGCACACGCACACGCACACACACATGCACATGTACATGTACATGTACATGCATGCACAATTAATAAACGAACCAAATAATAAGAACAACAATGTGCAGTAAGAAAAGAGAAAGCAAGCAATGCGAATGAAATATCGTCCGGAAGTTTCTAACACACAAAACTCGATTTGAACTTTGCGAGCGAGAGCGCAATGTAAAAAGCAGAAGAGCAGAAGAGTGGGAGAGTGGGAGAGTGGAAGAGTGCGAGTGCGAGAGTGCGTACGGTATTGTGCACGTTCAGTGTGTGGGAAGAAGTGCGGGCGAGTGAGTGTCAGGCAAAGCTTCAATTTGGCACAGTGAAACAGTAACAACAACATGCTGAGTGATGACGATGACATTTTAACGCTAATTAAAATAATAATAACAATAACAACAGCATCAACCACAACAACAATAACAGTTGGTGGCACTTCAAACAGCCAGATTATCTGCCATCGTGCATGTGTATGTGCCAATGAGTCTCTCTCTCTCTGTGTGTGTGTGTGTGGGAGAGTCAATCGTTGTGCGAGCTTCAGTTGCTGCTGCTGTTGCTGTTGTTGTTGTTGTTGTTGTTGTTGTTGCTGCCCGTCTCGCTGCGGTGATATTGCCACTTGCTCGACTTAAGCTCTCACTGCCTCTCCCGCGTTTTCGTCCACTGCTCGTTTCTTTTGCTGCTGATCCGCAGATAAAGTCGCGATTTACAGTGAGGCAAAGTGTCAAATGAATTGAATTTGAATTTTTTAACCGTACCAAGTGCTTATTTTTTTTTTTTTGATTTTAATGGTAAGTGGAACACAAATGAATTAAACATTTTTATGTAACATAGGTAAATGTAAAATATGTGTTTAGATTGAAGCTATGCTAATGTACAGCTCTGCCCCTGGGCAAACATCTTTTATGTTTTTTTTTTTTTTAAACTATTCCTGGAACTACGAATTATTCCATTGCAGTTAAATATAAATGATAAACTTAAACATAATTATATATTCGTAGACATTCACATATTTATTTTCTGTTTTAATCAATGCTTCGAAATCGCCTATGTGAACTGTGAATATTCGCTAAGTTTGTCCAACTATAAAAAAAAAATTAATATGATTTATGTACAAATATTGAGTGGGACACATTTATTTTCATAGTCAGACCGTTTGTAGAAATTGTCATAAAATATTTATTTGCTTTTATATTGGTTGCGTTAATCCGGCATAATATATATTTGCATATACGTTAATTAATTGCCCCACTGTGGCTGTGTTTGTCGCTTCCCTTTCGCACACTCACACACACACACACACACACACATAGACAGACAGGCACTCACATATAAGCAATTGCCATTGCAATTAGCAGCTCAACTTGAGTGGAGAGGTGGAGGTGGGGATGGAGTGGAGGTGGAGTGGCTCAAAAGCTGCAGCTTGAGCCAAAGACTCTGCCTGTGACTGCGTGTGTGTGTGTGCGTGTGTGTCTGACGGGCTCGTCGATAGCTTGTTGATTAATTTCTTTTTTATGCAAACTAAGCGGCTCGTCGCTTTGTCCGTCTATTGTGCAAGTGTGTGCGTGTGTGTGTGTGTGTGTGGTGCAGGTGACAAAACCAGTTGCCGATTACTCGAACTGTAACTGTAACTGTAACAGTAACTGTAACAGTACAGCCAAATTGTTGGCTGGGTTTTTGGTTGATCTGTAGGAAGCGTTGGTGGGTTGGGGAGGGGGGGGCGTGTCTAATGGCTTACCCTGCGCATGCAGCAGCGGGTGGTGCGGTGGCATTGGCATTGCTGACGACGACGGCGGCGGCGGCTGCTGTTGCGTATGATGCGTATGCGATGCGTGTGGATGATGCGGATGCGGATGCGAATGCGGATGCGGATGCGAATGCGGATGATGATGATGATGATGATGCACTGCAGCGGCCAGCTGATGTGGCATAAATGCAGCGGCCACCGCAGCGTGTGCATTAAAATAGGCCATGCGCGAGGCGGCGGCCATTGTCAGCTGTTGTTGTTGTTGTTGCTGTTGTTGCTGTTGTTGCTGTTGTTGTTGTTGTTGTTGTTGCTGGTGATCCCTAAAATGTTGTTGCTGCTCCAATGTTGCCAAGCCGCCTGCTGCTGTTAATGCGGTTGCTGCTGCACTGTTGTTGTAGTGCGTCGTGTTGGCTGCCGCTGCTGCTGTTGTTGTTGTTGTTGTTGTTGTTGTTGGTGTTGGCTTTGGCGGCGTTGGTGTTTCGCGCGCGTTGTTTGTTGCCGTTGTTGTTGCGGCTGTTGTCAGATCGGTTGCTGTTTCGCATGTTGTTGCTGTTGTTGTTGTTGTAATTGTTGGTTTTGTGTCACATGTTGCTGTTGTTGTTGCTGCCGCCGCAACGGCCAGGCCGAGCAGCTCTTGTATGGCAAATGGCGAACGCTGCGGCATCGCGCGCGCTCCCTCTCTCTCCCTCTCTCTCGCTCACTCTGCCCCGCTCGCTCTCTCTCTCTCTTGCCGACTCTCTCTAACTCTGTCGCGTCTAATTAGTTATTAGAAACTTTTGCGAATTCGAGTTCGAAAATGCAAATGCTTTCAACAGTTATTTTTGTTTCTGCTTTGAGCTGGCCTGCAAATTACTTAACTGTTCTTGTTGTTGTTGTTGTTGTTGTTGTTGCTTTTGTTATGTTCGCTTTTAATTAAACGTTTTTGAAAGCTTGACCACGCGCGCTCTCTTTGGCGCGTTCTCTCTCGCTCTCTCTCTTTCCCTCGCTCGCTCTGAGCTAATATGCCGGCTGCTCGTGTGTGTGTGTGTGTGAGTGAGTGTGTGTATTGCTATCTGTAGGCCGGCAACAATAACAATCGAGAATAACTGCACTTAACACTAAAAAAATGATTGCTGCTGTTGTTGTTGGAAGCTCGCTCGCGTTTGTCACGCGTATTATTTTTATTTATTTATATTTTTTTTTGTCGCCTGTCGCCTGTCGCAAAAACACACAACAAATTCGCAATAATTTCCACGTTAAACTGTTGCCTGGCTTAATGTGCAGCAGGAGTTTTGTCGTCGCCATCGTCGTCGTCGTCGTCGTCGCCGCCGTCGTCGTCGTCGTCGTCGTCGTCGTTGCCGTTGTCGTCGTCGTCGCCGACTACGCCGATGCCTGCTCCAGCGTTGGTGGTTGGGACCTGGCTAGAAAGTCGCTGTGTGCGCGAGAACGGCGGCCCATCCAACGGTGGCATGCAACGTGCACGGGCAACGGCAACGGCAACGGCAACGGCAACGGGATATTGTTGCCTGACTTGGTCCTTGGCAGCGACGTTGTCAACGTTGTCGCCACTGTCGTTGCTGCGCCGCTGCTGCGCTGTCGGCGTCGCTGGCACGCAACGGTAAATCAACACCAGCATCAGGGGCGGTGTCAGTCGACTGCCGCACAGCTAGCTGTGCCGCTCGCACACCCAATGCCATGCAGCGAGCACGTCGAAGCGACAATTTCCCCTGCACAGCGTGTGAGCTCAATATGGCGCATGTGCGCAGCAGCATGCCGTGCGTGCGAGCAGCACAGCTGCTGTACACCAACGTTTGGCTAGCTGTGCCGCTTCAACACACGCTATACTTCCAGTTGGCCTGGAATGTTTCCAGTGATACGACCCGTTTTCATTGTGTGCGTGCGCCGAGCTGCGCGTGTATTGGTGCCCCTTTGCTGGTGTGTGTGTGTGTGTATGGTGCCCATTTTGTATTGTTTGTGGTGCTGACCGCCCGCTGCCGCTAACGCTGCTGCGTCCGTTGATGGGGTGGGATCTACGGCAACGACAGCGGCAGCGCAGCGGCAGCTTTCGGCTCGTTCAATGAAGGACGCCAATTTATAGCAAAAAAAAAAAAAAAAACAACAACCGAGTCGAGACTAGCAGGAGTTGTAAAAACTACGAGCAGCATTTGTTGTTGTTGTTGTTGTTGTTGTTGTTGGTGTTGTTCGCTGGTTCGTTTTTGTTTGTGGGGCGCACACTAAAAAAAGCCGTCTAATTAAAATGTTGCCGAACTTTTGCCATTAAAATGACCAAAATTAACTGTTTACAACGGCGCGCAGCTTGCAATAGCTGCGACTGCGGCGAACAGCAAATGCAGCGACAAGTTGCCAGCGCTGATCACGCAACAAAAACAACAACAACAGCAACAACAAGCGAAGCGAACTACAATTGGCATGCAGTCGCCCATACAATGTTACAACGGTGCTTTTGTTATTCGCCTCAAAACGCTCTTTTCTCACGCCCATCAAACAAACGCGTCTTTAGAAGCCGCAACGGCAGCCCCCACGCGCGAGCTTTTTCGCCGCAAGTCTGTTAAACAATCGAAATGCCAAAGCTCCACTAACAACAACAACAACAACAACAACAACAATCTTAGTTGTGTGTGCATTTACGACAACCTCGCCGTCGCCGTCGCCGTCGCCGTCGTCTCTTTGTCTATCGCAGCGGCCACGCAGTCTGGCGATGTTTAGTGAGCGAGCGAGCGAGAGAGAGAGAGCGCCTAGAATCAAATAGCTGGCCGTGGGAGAGCGAGCGATCGAGGGCGCGCAACTGCGTAGCTTGAGAATGCGACGTGGAGTAATTTGATATTTTGCTGCGCAGGTTGTGCGCGCGATCCTGGGCTGGAATGATGGAAGGATGGAATGTGGAATGGGAAATGTGCATGATTCATGCTGTGAGCATTTTTAAGGCGAATTTCTTTCAATCTTGTTCTTCTTCAATTGCTTATTGTTAATTAACTTTGCAATTAGGAGGGGGGCGGGGGGAGCGGACGGGACAATGCCAATAAGAAATATCCAAAATACAATTCGAGGCCTGTCAAAATACGAAATATGTATATTGAATTTCCTCTAAGCTATTTATAATGAGCATGGCCATGATGATGATAAAGATGATGATGATAAAGATGATAAAGATGATGATGATGATGATGATGCTACCTGGTAACCTGATACGCTGGCATAGTTTTCATATTAGGCATAAACAACTTTCAGCTGGCGATCATTTGGCTACAGTCGTGTGTGTGTGTGTGTGTGTGTTTGCATGTCCTTCCCTGTTTGTCCTTCAACTTGCAGCTTTGTTTTGCAAATATTTTGACGTGCGATTCTCACAGCGCATAACGAACATACTACCTGAAACCTTCCTTCTTTGTATACCCTGTTCGCAGATCGCCAATGGGGTATACTGTGTGTATTAGCACACAGTTTGGCAGTCTTCGCTGTAGGCAACACAGTTTGAGAGCCGTCATGAGATAGAGGCTCCGCTCAACAGTTGCAGTTGGCCAAGTTCTAGGGTATTGTGCAGTCGATTGCAGTCGAGATGTGTGCTTGTTTACAGGGTGCCACGCAAACACAGGGTGCCTCGGCTTGACAGTTGATGTCGCTGGCCGTTGAGAAGCCGACAAATGATTCAATTAACGCTTTAGAGCTCAAGTGCTCCGTTTCGAGTGCGAAAGTTGCCCAAAAACACGCAAAGAAGAAGAAGAAGAAGAAGATGAAGCAGCAGCAGCAGCAGCAGCAGTTCGACTTTGAGTTGAAGTTTCGAGTTTCGGACTCGAAACAAAACCGAAAAAAAAAAAAATAACACAATTGTTGCGTCTGTCAATGATGTGTCGAGTCTTTATTTACTCGGCTTTATTCAATGAAACGACGAAGCGACAAAACTTAATTATGAACAATTAAAGTTCAGTTAGATTTATTTATTTATTCATTTATTGTTTCTATTTTGTTTTTGGGCAATTGCTTCAGAAATACAACACAAAACACAAAAAAAAAGAGCTGTCATAAATCGAAAAAAAAAAAAAAACCTGAAGAGCCGTTGTAAAACTTGCCAAAATGCCATTGTTCAAATGTTGTTATACCCTGTAACTGCAAACAGAGCGGGTATGAGGCTACTACTGCACTACCCTATTCATGTATACGAATAGTTCAGCTCAGGATCCGTCGGCTTGTAATGCGCTTAACTCGGGAACTTTAGAAGCTAGACGCTTGAAAATTGGTATGTGCTCATTACGGGGTATCTACCAGTCATGCATGCCCGACTAGAGCACACCAATTTGCTGTTGTTGTTGTTTCCATTGTTGTGTAATTAAGTTGTTTCGCTTTTGGACATTTGAGCATATAATGAACGCATCTCTCGGATCTTCAAACTCAGCTGCCGGCCATTTTGGTGTTGGCCATCAAAAAAAGACAACAACAACAACAACAACAACAACAACAACAACAACAAACAGCAACAACAACAACATGAAGAAGAGACAGACAATATTATTGTCACAGAATTGTTGGCATTGTTGCTGTCTAGTGATTAGTTGAAAGCCCAATTGCCGCACAATGGCAGCTCACTAATAATCCATAATTATAATAATAATCATAATAATAATCATAATGATAATCGAGCATAATCGTGTTAAGCGTTAGAGAACAACATAATTGAGAAATCAATCAAATAATGCGTGGACACTGTTCGAGCTGAGTTACCCTTTTGTGGTGTTCAGTGCACGGTCAACCTGTGCCTGTGAACCGGTTCAAAAGTGGTTCACATATGGTAAAAGACCATTAGTCGGGCACATCCGACCTATATAAATACCCTGTAGCGACTGATCAAGCAGTCAAACCTTCTTTTAGTTGCAAACGCTGTGCTTCTTCTTAACTCTGTCTGGAGCATACATTCTGACTTCGGTTCTTATAACTCCGATTCTTTTGATTTGTTCAGGGCTTAAGCCGAGACTATATCTACGAAATTTCTATTTTGGGACGGTGCTCAGGCTCTCATTATGCTCCACAAGAAACTACATATTTAATTGTGTCTCTCTTGCTATTAAAAAGCCAGTTATGTATATTTCCACAATCCCAATATGCCCGTTTCAATGGGTGCAGAGTGTAAAAAAAGCTAAGCTAAGTTATATGAAGATTGGCCGAGTGTATGCTTAAAAAGTTAGTTAGGGAACTGAACTAGTGTGTGAACCAGTAAATTAATCAGTATCCGAAGCAGTATAAGAATCAGTATACGAACTAGCATGCGAACCAGTATATGAATCTGTAAATGAACCAGTATCCGAAGCAGTAAAGGAACTAGTATGGGAACCAGTATAGGAACTAGTTTACAAACCAGTTTATGAACCAGTATACAAACTTGTATACGAATCCCTATACGAACCAGTTCTCGAGCCAGTATACGAACCAGTAGAGGAACCAGTGTAGGATCTAGTATACGAACCAGTCTACGAACTGGTTCGGTACTTCAGTGCTCACATAGAATGTTATATAAAATAATGTAAAAGTCTTTCGGATTAAGATAAGTTCATAAACCAATATGCCCCAATGGAAAACAGGGTATACGAATTTCACCGACCGTTAATAAATAAATAATAGTTAAAAAAAAGCAACAGAGGACATTTTGTATTAGCCATTTATTGATGCTCGTCAACAATTAAATCGAAATTCGATTTTTCAATTATTTAATTGTGCGATTTGTTGTTCGCAACGTGAGAAAATGAAGAAATGGTAAAGGTAAAGGTGAACGAATTCCAGTTTAAAGAGTGGGAAACAGAGAACTGGCGGGGATACAAAAGTTGAATAAACTAATAATTGAAAGAATAATTAATTATTCAAGTAATTGAAAGAATTTGCAGTGAAATAAAGCTGTCTACAAAATCTAAGATTTACGAAAAATGAGCATTAGTTAGTATAAATGTAAGTAAAAGTCGCCTGAAGGTCAGCTGGCAGCGTGGCCGAGTGGTCTAAGGCGCTGGTTTTAGGCACCAGTCCGAAAGGGCGTGGGTTCGAATCCCACCGCTGTCACATGAGAATTATTATATTTATTTTACAAGTATTTTAAATCGACATTCGACATTGCTTCACTACGTTTCATCGTGTAGGTGTACCTCAAAGCTGCCTCCCTACGTCGTCCAGACAGTTTCCCCTGACTCTGATCCCATCTCATCACAACTCGAAGACTGCACGAGCTTTAGTTATAAAGTTTGGTATATAGATTCGTCTTAACAAAAGCCTGTCGATTTTGTTAAGTGTATTGAACATTTTCGCTCTAAAGCCATAAAAACATAATCCGATGCCAAACAATTTTCACA